TTCAGTCTTAGCGTTGATGTAATCTTCATTAAAACAAAGAAGAGTAACACACGCATATACATGTATTAGAAATATGAAGTACAGCTAGTTCTTAAATACTTATGTATTAATATCATACATGCGGCAGTAGAAGAACCTCCTGTCACGAAAATATTCAAGGTAGTTGGCCGCAACCAAAATAATTCTATTTTTAATTGGTGGGATTTTTTAAAATTATCAATAGCAATTTTTTTTATATTTTCTGTAGTAAATGTGATAATAATTTTTCACTTTATAAAATGAAGCTTAATAAAATATGTGAAATAAAATGTAAGATCGTTTCTGATCGTTTTAGTCCGAAGCTTGACTGTAATACTGTTTGCAAAAACGAGAAATTTAATTAAAACCATGAATTGAATATCTTTTCCTGTGACGACTCCGGACTGCGGTCAAAGAATATTAATTTTGGGGAAAATATTATTAATTGTATGCTTTGGTGCAAGTAAAGTTCACTGACAGACAGGCAAAAAAAACATAACTAGAACAACACATTTTCAGTAAAAAACTACAAATGTGTATTTTGTATTAAATGTGTATTTTCGTTAAGATCTGGACATACTTTTTTTCCAGCTTTATCCCTCTTCACAATGGATATTCTCCTTATATATCACGTATACCAGGGATAAGAAGAGGAAATAAATGCTATGTGGAAACTGGATGAAACCAGAGTCATACCGTTGTGAATCTCAGCATTGGGGGTTGTATCGACGTGTTTGCTAGACAACATAGATAAACTGGGACTTGACAGAAGGATGTACGTTGTAATGTAGGAAGCAGTATGCTGTCGTCTTCAGGAATATCTTAAATAGAACGGTTTATTTTTCGATAAAAATCATTTGTGTCTTAGAAGAAATTTAAAGTGATATTTTTCGTTTAAAGAAAAATTCAATTTAGAAACATTGAATTTGAAATTTCACGGGAAGAAAAAACCTCGATTTCAATTTTAAATTAAAATTACAGTCACATCGAAGGATGATAAAGGAGAATAGTTGTACCTAATTTGTGGTAAAGTTGCACCTTGTTCAGAAACCTGGAAAAGATGTTTCCGCAATTTACAAAAATTGTAAATTTGTACTGTAAAAATATTTGATTACATTGTCAAGATGATCTGTATGAACCACGAACCAATAAATTGTCTACTTGGGTAGTTTCAGCACATAACTAGTTTGTTTTTGTCGTTGTAATTTCTCAACCAGAGCTACTGAAATTAAAAGAAAATAATTGTTTTTATAAGTTAATGCGTTCTTATCGTCTATTAAGTTCGACAGAAATGTCAAGAAACTCAATTCGAGAACCGGCGAACAGACACTCAACGAACCCACAAATTGTTGTCTCACTCGGATGTCTGGGCGCACATCTAGGTTGTTTGCATGTTTGCGAGCCAAAGCTCTTCCCAGGATGTTACCCTCCCTTGGCGCACATTGCGGCCGTTCCTCCCCTCCCCCTCCCCTCCCCCACGCGGGGCCCGCGCGGCGCGTGCACTTGCTGCAGAGTCGCTGGCCCCTCGTCTTCCGCGTCCTGTCAGCCAGTCTGCGTGGGAGTTGGGAAGATGGAGAGTCTGGCAGCCCAGATAGGCAGCGGCGGCTTAACTAGTACTCAGTCGACACTCTCTTGGATTAAAGCACGAAAACCAAGCAATGATGCCAACGGGTTAAGGACCATTTGAATTTTAAAAAAAGTGCTTCAAGTGTCTCATTTAGAAAAACACCCAGGCTCCAAATGTAACATTCATAAAACTGATTGGACTTCGTAATCCCTGAAAGAAATTAAGTCTTTTATTAAGAACTACAAAATAAAATACAAACCGTTGGATAATGATCTAAAAAGGTGATGTACGCGTAAACGTTTATTTCTTAACGTTGATTACTATTACTAACGTAATACTATTTTTATTCAATTGCGCAGAGTATTTCATACTCTCGGTGAAAATGTTGGAAGGGAATCAACATTTTACATTAATGTATAATTTAAAGTTTGGAGAGGAACAAGTGAAAAAATAGTGAAGTTCATAACTCATCCTAAGTATTTAATTGAAGTCAGTGGCGACTACCATGTCGTTGCCATGAAACGTGCTACAGATATCGTGTAGTGGGGAGTACTTACAAGAACTTTAATTAATTAGATTGCTTCTTTATTGATTAATAATAGTTCAATAACAACTTACTACGCCAATAAGCAATTGACAAGGCATCTGATATTCGGGAAGGGGTAAAGTTACATTTACTTTCCAAATGCAAAAAATAGAAACATCTTGAATTTGCTCTCAGGGTCGCTGGGATTGTGAGATGAAAGTCACTATCCCCTTAAGAGTTCGGCCCCAAAAGACAATCATTGCTCATATCAATTGCATTATTTACAATTACGTGGTCAAATAACGTTTTAAAGAAGGAACAACATCGTGTTAAAAATGATAAACGTTTAAAAAATAACCGATTCTGAATATACAAATTAAGCATAATAAATTCATCTGAAAATAGTGTTTTACGTTAGAAGCAATAAAATAAAATCAAAGTAAAGAATTTAAATATTCTACATGCACGCAGATCACGTTAAAAAATTATCTATTTGTGGCAGCAACTCTGCTATATCGATGATGCGGCAGAAAAATATTTCATTAAAAATTGTCTGCCTTCCGGTTCTAGTACCTTAAAATACGTTAATGAAATTAGCAAGCTTTTTGCTGATAATCGATTTGACGACTGGAAATAATACAACTCCTATACTGTACGAGTACAATCAAAGTTGTCAATTGGATCGCTATAATTGGACGGCTAAGGACCTAAGCTTTTTTATACAAAAATGATTGATAAGTAAATATATCTATATATAAGAGAATGGCATATTTGAGCGTCATTCATTATTTTTTCAATGTATCAGAGAATTTATTATTTCTAGGCTCCGGCAAAGACAATTTACAGTTTTATGGGTCTCTTGAATATCTATCGAAGAACTATTACTTTATTATTCTGAAATTAATTACATTCATATACTACGTATGCAATGCAGCTAGTTTGTAAGTAGCACAGTGTTATGTATCTGGCAAAGTTGAGAACGTAATTTCAAATATATGTAAATATTGCCATGAACACATTTTTGAAGAAACAAGATTCATCGAACACGTTTAACAATAGGTTTAATTTTTGTTTAAATCCAGATAACAATTAAAAAGTTATAAATTAATTAAGTTATAAGTGGTAGCTATCACACCATTTCACCGCCCAGATACACTACACTAAACAGGCTGCACTGTTTTATTATACCACACTGCACACGTCAGATTGGTCGGTAGGACACATCTTAAACGAAATCTCTTGAAATTGGAAGATTGGAATCTTGGAAGATTGGAAACACAAAGTCTTTCCAATCTAATTTGATAATTTTCGATAAATGCAAATTTCCCCACATACATTTTTAAACATTTTGTTTACGTTTTGTGAATGTGGGTTTTTCTTACGCAAAATGTGGTTTGTTGTCACAGATAATACTATATATCTGTACCTTTAGTACTCGACGCTGAATTTCTTTTCAAGTCGGTTAACCTCTATACAGTTTTAAACATCGCGCGAGCGCTCGCCTTCGGCTTTCAGCCCTGTTGAAGAAGTTTCCATTACTTTCTTATTGTATTCATCAGAAGTAAAGTTGGCATATTTTTTGAATTTAATATATATTTTATCTGATCTCTGATATTTTTACATAATTCTTCCACTCAAGTGTCTGCCGTTTCGTACTGTTGTCAGAATGTCACCATTGAAATTGTAGTAAGGTTCACCGTAAATTTCACCCTCTGTGCAACTATATTGTTTTAGTTCGTTGCCCGTTTTCTTTTCATTCAGATGAAGACAGCATGATTTACAAAATCTACTGCAACAAATACTAATATTCTTTTTGATTAGTCGTTATTTGTAGGGAGTAAATTAACGAAGACAAAGGCCTTTATAAAGGTGTTCATAAACGTAAAGTAACAATTCCACCAATTTTATTTTACCCACCTGAAAAACTCAAGTATCTGTGGCCACAACTCCAAGGATAAATTTATCAAGAACGAAGTTATCCTGAGTTTTTCAAGACTGATTTCGTGGTTTAATGTAATCTGAAAGTCTGTACGAGTCAATTCGGACCAGAAACAGTTTTATTATCTCTATGAAGATGAAACTCTGTATTAAACTTAGAAACTTAGAAAGGAACAAGACACGAGAAACCCGAACATGAAACATAAAACTGAGCGCCTTTGGGAAATGCAAATATTGGCAAAACTTGCCAAATTCGCAAACAATGGATAAGAAAACACGAACACATGATTTCGCAAAGGCCTTCTATTATAGTAGTTCCCTTTATGTTCGCGAAGAGTGAATTTGCAAACAGAGAAAAATCATAAAAGTTGTCACGAAAGAACCCTCCATCTCACGTTTTATGAACTTTCGTTAGCGCAAATTCGCGAGCGCAACTTGCTCTCTCCCTCGCTCCCGGCGCAAGGGCTGAGTCCGTTGCGTAAGCGGCGTCCGCGCCCGCGCCCGCGGCCCCACCCGCGCGTGCGCCGCCCAGGCCTCGACGGCCCCCGCGCGGCGGCGGCAGCGCGCTGACAGCGGGCGCGGGCGCGGGCGAGGCCAGGGCGGCGCTTGCGATCGGGGAGGCTGACGCACGAGGCTCCGTGTCCGCACCCTGCCCCACCCGCCCCGCCCGCCCCCCGCGTTCGCGCCGCGCCCCTCCGCCTCCGACGATTCACGGCTCCGCCCCGCCCCGCGTCGCGCTCCATCTCCCACGGCCCCACCCAGCGGCCCGGCGCCCTCCCCGCCCGGGCGCGGCCCCACGCGCGCCCGCCCCCGCCCCGCCCCGCCTCGCGACGCGTTCCGTCTCCCACCGCCCCGCCCCGCCCGGGCGCGCCGCCTCGCTCCGTCCCCCCCGCGAGGGAACGCCCACACCCCACCTCCGCCTCCGCCCCGCCCGCCCCGCCCCCTTCCCGCCCCGTCGCTGTCTTCGTCGGCCGGGGGCGCAGCGGGCGGCGGGCGCGTCGGAGACAAACAAAAAAGTCCTTCAGATTGGGCGCCGGGGCCGCCGCCCGCACCGCCGCCCGCGCCGACACCACGACCAATTATTCCGCGGCCTTTGCTCGCTCCTATTTTGATCGCCAGCGCTAAATAAGGCAAGGCACGCCCTCTGTTTCGCGCGGGGCATGCCGGGTAAGTGGGGGGGAGGCACGCTTATCGGGCCCGCTTAAACGACCCGACCCGCCCAGTGGGCTCAGCCTTCTCCAACAGACAACACCGCTAGTAGGAGGTCTTTCTTCTTCGAACCACACAATGGTAAGTCCGCGGCAGCATTGTTCCTGTGCTGCGTTGTGAAGTGTGCGGAGTCGTCGGCGAAGGGACCCGGGCCGGCGAACTGGACGCTGTTCGGCCCGCCCTCGCCGCCGGCCCCGACGCGCCGCGCCCTTCCATTGTGGCCGAGCCCTTTATCTGCTGACTGTGAACGCCGCTCACCAGGTGACGCCCTCCGTCGGACGCACCTGCCTCGGGAGTGTTGCAAAGTGCATCGTGTCGCCGTCACCAATCATCATCGTGGATAGAATTCTGGATCTGTTCCGGCTGTCCGTTTTGCCGCCAGTCTTCCGACAGGACGGGCGAAATTCCAAGACATTTGCTAGAAGCGATTGCCCTGCCTGTCAGCTCTGAAATACGCCCTACAGACGCTTCCAATTTCTGACGCTTACTGGAATCATTTTTAAAACATTCCATTAAATTTCGGTTGCTTGCAAATTGTGGCGCGAGTGGCATAAAGTGTGGAGTGTTCGCAGGAGAAGTGGGAGAATCCGCTGGGAGTGAACAGTTGGAAAGAGAGAATACCATAACGTTTTACGAAAAGGTTTAGTACTCATCTGGAAACGTTTTGGATAAAACGACGCTCTTGTTAACAAGCGTTCATTTTCGGATTTAAATGAACAAGGTCACAAACTAAAAACATTTTGCTCGAAATAATTCTTTGTCACATATAAGATAGACTGTTTAAGTGGAAGCTTTCGAAAATATTTGGAAGTCAATTATTAGCTTTGGCTAGAAAACGGAATTTTACCAAAAAATAGGAAATAATTACTTCATTATTTCACTAATTTATATTGTCCAAACTAATAGCCGACAATCAAACCCAGGACTCTTGGAATATGCCGTTGCCCTGAATATTGAGCTTCAAAGAGCAAGCTTTGTACAGTTTCATGAATCGGATGTATTGACCAGTGTATAAACCGTTTAGTTACAATAGATAATTCATTTTTATTTAGTTTTTGGACTTTCAGACATTGGTTATTTTAAATTTTCACATTGTATTGTCAACCTTTTAATCAAATTCTAAATTGAAGTGTAAATTTACAGTTGGGAATGAAATGGAGTTTTAGTTGAGAACATTCTTTTATAAATAATCAAACAATATCTAAAGAAATTCAAAATACGGCAATATACGTTTATACTGTACTTCATGTCTGCAATATAATTTACCACTTCTTTGCAGCTCAATTAAAATAAACGACAAAATTCACAAGATATAATAATATATCGTTCGTTTCCAATAACTTAATAAAAATCACTGTTACAGTAACCTAATCAACTCTTCAATCAAAAATCATGTTGTTAAAACGTCCAAAAATTGAGAAGTGTCTCAAAAATAAGAAGTACAAACGTTTATGTACTTCATTCTCAATGGAAAACATACTTATTATGTTTATTTGTGGGAAAATTAAATACGGGATGTGTGAAATTCATTAAGATAACGAGCAGCATGTGCAATCCGCATTACAGAAGTGAATTTAGAGCAGACATTATATCAGGGGAAAAATCTGGAAACACGTTACACTGTGAAAATCTCAGGCGACATAACGAAAACTAAACACTGGAAAGTTAAAGTGTGTTTTAAAAGACAGTGAATGGTTAAATAGAAAAACGACTTGTAGCATCTTTTCAGTGGACGAAAAGAATATTCTAAGGGAATGAAAATGCATTAATTAAACCATTGCAGTCATTAACACAATTATTGGAAACGTATTCGTCTCGCATTATGTACTGTTTGAAGTCGTTGTCTGTCTTGTACTGCGGTTCTGTTGTACTAGCTGTCAGAACGCAGCCCAACTAATATTCGGCAACGCCCGGTCACATAATGTTGCTCGCGCCTTCCTAGGCAGCCAAAATTTGCATTTACTTACATAATTTGAGAACGCGCCTCCCGATTCTCCGGCGGGAGTCGTAAGAAATAGGCCGGTGGGGGTGGGGGGAGAGAAACGCCGGCCTCCGGTGTGGCTATAAGCGGTCACCGCCACCGCAGCTGCAACAGACGCTATTTCGGTCGCATCCTATTTTCGCAGTCGCCTCTTCCACTCGAGTTTCCAGCCCCCCCCCCTTTCCGGGCAGCGCGCCATCGGGGTCGCGTTTTGAGTTGCGTCTGCCCCGCTTCGCCCCTCCACACCGCTCCGCGCCGCACCACCCGCAAAGCCAGCGAATCTCTTGCGCCTTCGCAAACGTTTCTTTTTGGGGAGCTGGCGAAGGTTATGTGGCACACGTGGCGATCGTCTATTTGCGGAATCGCGGAGGACATGAGGGTTAAGGGAGGGATGAGCCAGGAGGGGGGATGACCAATCGGTGGTCCTTCTTAGTGGAAAGTGAACTTAAGATCTCGAAATGAATTTTTGGAAGTGTGAAACTTCATACAGCTGTTTCTAAAACTCTTCTGGGATGGGATGAGTTTCCAAGTGCATATATTAATTCACGGGACAATATTTATGTTTATGTATGATCGCATATCGCACTCGCTAATTTCGCTGTATGAATATTATGAGGAATTGGAAAGAAATATCCGAGGAAGCTCCCAATACATGCTTAATTGTTGTGGCTTAATTGTATCCTAATTATAACGAAAATCTACGCTCTACATTTGCCGAGTATTTCGATATCTACGTGCGAATATGTAGTATTCATTTGTTCACCGAATACTTTGAAATACCTCCATGAAACGCTTCGAACAAACTCATTCAACACACTTCAATGATGATGAGGGATGATGCGACCACTGAGCGACCGTCTTTTTACCGAGCAAAAACTAAAACAAACTTTCGCTTCGTAATCTGGTAGCACAAATTCAGTTTCTTTTATTCACATGATGATGATGGTGATGACGTGATGACACCAATGAATTACAGATCCAAGTAATGAATTTAAATAACATTATTCATCGAATTCAAATGGTTTATTTCATATATGGTAAATAAACTCAATTACTTTCTTTATATTTTATACATTATTTAACTAGAATAGAGTAGAATTTTCATGAATAGAGGTTTATTATTTTTTCAATAACACGAAGCATGTAACATATTCTTGTAATTGAAGGCAAAAATGCGATTGCATTTACTTCACTGAAAAAATTAAAATACCAGCAGAAAATGGAATTCGGTCCTAATTTTCTCCTTCAGCATTAAATTTCCCAAATGACTCAACTCCGGCCTAGATATGTTACGCACTTTTCCTTCTCTTCACATCACATCCCGACCGCTTGCACTAGAAATCTCCTCCCACTGATCACATTGCGCTGCGTCGTTGCAGGCGGACAAGGAAAAGAAGAAGAAGAAGAAGTCCACCAAGGAGGAGGCGCCGGCTGAGGCGCCCGCACCCGCCCCTGCCGCCGAGGCCAAGCGCGAGAGCTCCCGCGGCTCCCGCAAGGCCAAGCGCACCGGCAGCAATGTCTTCTCCATGTTCTCCCAGAAGCAGGTCGCCGAGTTCAAGGAGGTGGGTGCCTCACACCACCACACTCTGCATTTATTTTGGCGATTGATCGCAGGGGTTACTTTGCGCGGACACGGCCATTGAGTGTAGTGTATAGGACCACTAGGACCCACTTTCAAACACTTAGATTCAAATGATCAGAAATAATAGACTAGTAATTTTATTTTCGTATAAAAAATTCAGCAGTGAATAAAGCAAAGTTCTCGATTAAGCTGTAGTCTTACGTATATTTCTTCTAGTATACCACTTGACACTGTATGGTGATACACCTATACTACTTCACGAAGATTTTGAATTTACCAAAATAGCACGTGCCATGAAGTCTACTAATTTAAAAAGCAGAAGATGAAGCTGTATGCCATTTAGGTTAACTAAAATAAACTCAAACGATACACTCCTTATATCAAAAACAAATAAAAATGGAATTTTAAATATAGTTTAATTCGTAGTAGCAATCTTAGGGGAAAGAAGATCATTGTATCTGTAAGGGATACACAAAATCTATCTGTAAAGAGGTACACGTTTAATTTATTTCACGTTGTTTGAAAGTTACCTCAGAATCCTTATATCTTCAATGTCCACCAACAAGAATTATTTAATAGCAAAATACGAAAATAATATATATTTAGTAAAAAAAACGTGACGTCGGCGATTAACACGAACATTTTGTTCGATAGGCCTTCCAGCTCATGGACCATGACAAGGATGGCATCATCAACAAGAACGATCTTCGTGCCACCTTTGACAGCTTGGGCCGTCTGGCCTCCGACAAGGAGCTGGACGAGATGGTGAATGAGGCCCCCGGCCCCATTAACTTCACCCAGCTGCTTACCCTCTTCGCCGCCAGGATGTCTGGAGGTGGGTGTTCGCCATTTCTACATCAAATGCTCATTTTTATTGATCTTTCCCTACCTCTTACTGGAACATGGGTAGAAACACGAAGGTGGCATTAAAAAATAGTTATTTCAGTATTTTAAGTGAGTAATATTTTGTGGAATTCATTCATACATTAGAAATCGTTTTCTGAGACAAGTAAATTTGATAAGCTTAACTGATTTTCCTTCAAATTACGGAATCATATTTTTTACTATAAGAACGAAAGTTCTCACACGGGATACAATATTTATTCGAAACAGGAGCAAAATATATGAATTGTTCGAAAGAGGAGCAAATTACATAACAAAATCTGGTAGTAATATTCACACACACTGTAATATCATTATAGATTTGAAGCGTTGGTGGAGGTTTACATTTTCCCGCAAATACGATATTTTGTTAGAGGTATTTAATACTTAAAGAAGTTCGCTTCCACGTTCGCATCAGGGATTTACTTACCACTTTACAATTCCATGCGTGTTTCAGCAAAAGTATTCTTATACTGATCGAAATTTTTCTTCTTGTTTTAGGTTCTGATGACGACGATGTTGTTATCAACGCCTTCAAGACATTCGACAACGATGGCAAGATCGACAGCGAAAGGTAAGCATATTCAATGAGGAATAAAAAGTAATTCTCAGAATCTAAAGAAACCATGTAGGAGATGAAGGAGACGAGACAGAAAGAAGCCTCAGAATGATGAGATTAAACTGTTTTGAATGTGTTTGTGATTACTGTAGAACCATAACCTGATTTGAGGCGGTATTTCTATAAAAATAATGAAATACTTTCAATCGCGTTTCCTTCAATTTTCTAAAAGTTTTGATGATAGAAACAAACACTTAACAATGTGAATTAATAATTTTAAAATATTTAAAAGACAAGTTTCATCATTAAATATATTTTTCTCCTAACGCTACAATGAAAGAAATAAAATGACTAATTTAGCTAATTTTACTTCCTATTACAACATACGTCCTCATTCAGATAAGTTGGTGCGAACAGATTTAACAGTTCTCATTCCAAGCGATAAAACAACAATAGTATTTGCCGTGTCCGACAGTTTGATGGTTTCTGAATTGAATTGAATTGAATTTACATAAGGAAATTCACGAACGTGCCAGTATTTCCGTATGCCGGTATTTCAATATTGATGATGGAACGAACTTTCTAAACATACAGAACTGTGGAATTAAGGACTTGTTTCTTTCGAATTTTAAATTATTTAAGTACAGTAATGTCGTCAAAAGTAGAAAACAGAACACTGGAAATGTTAATAAAAATGTAGTTTTTAAGAGGTATAATTGCAATGAAGAAGAACTAACGGGAGCAAACCCTCACAATGATGAGACGACAGTGGTTTTGATATCAAGTGATGAGTACTATTAATGCTAGAACCATTTGCGGTTTCTGAGCTGGGGAAATAGCTCCTAATGAAACACGCGTACCGTAAGGCTAGCTGCATTCATGTAGATTTTTGAAACGCAAAACATGAGTGTATCGTTGTTTTAATTTGAAATCATCACAAAAGACAAATATACGGTATTCGTTACATGTTATGTCTCAAAATGAGGGAGCAAACCTCAGAATGATGAATGTTCAGTTGCGTTGATATCATTATGTGATGATCGAATGTGTCCTCTGATCTGGGGCAAAGAGCTTCCATTAATCTTCTAAAAGTACTGATTATTTTTCATTATTGAAATTTTTTATAATATACAGGTTTTTGTAATAGAGTAAAGAAATATTGATACATTTTCGTTTGTAATTCTTTGTACATAGGAATATTCTCCTTTTGAAACGAATATTTAACGCGAAATGTGAAAAGATAAGTGAAAAGCTAGTTTGTTGTAAATTCGTTACATGTTGTTCCCGACGATATTTTGGTCTGAGAAATCCGAGAAAACTACATATAGGCTCACCGTTTCCAATTCAGACGTGTGGCAGCCCTGCAGCGCCTGTGCTGCCGGGCTCCGAGTGGTTGCCAAACGCGGTTCGCCCCGGCGGGGCGCGAGCGGCCCAAAATAACTCGTCGGACATAGAGACCTCACCCCTCCTCCCTGATCGTTCCGTCGCAACTTTTCTTTTGCTCTCGTCTCGTGGCGTCGGTCTGGCTGGTGAAGATGCCCATCTAAATTCAGCTCTTCACAAATACAAGCTGCTTTAAGAACGAGATTATAACATAAACTAATCAAATAAATCACTACAATTAACTGATAGGCAATCTCCCTCTCTCGCTCCTTCTCTCTGGGAAGAAAAAGACGCCTAACCTTTTCAAATGAGCATCTAAGAACGCCCTTGATGACGGCTGTTGAACATTTTTAAAAATTTTCTTCATATTCCTCTCCTGTGTAATGTACTTCTTCCCACACTTCACATGTAGAGGAAGAGCTTATTGTCGTAACATATTATTATTATTATTATTATTATTATTATTATTATTATTATTATTGCTTCCTTTTAAACCTCACGAAAAATAGAGGTGACATTTCGTGTGCAACACCTTCCGAGACTGGCTCTCCCTAATAATATGATCATGTTAGTCCGTAGTTATGTGTGTCTCTTGCCCTCATCTGACAACGGTTTTCTTTTCGCTTGCACAGGCTGCGACACGCCCTCATGACCTGGGGCGACAAGTTCTCCGGCGACGAGGTCGACGACGCCTACGAACAGATGGTGATCGACGACAAGGGCTTCATCGACACCCAGAAGCTCATCACCATGCTGACGGCGAGCGCGGAGGAGGGTGAGGGCGAGGAGGGTGAGGCGGCCTAAGCGGCCCTGCCTTGCTCCCCCCTTGCGGCTCTGGCGCGGGCGCGCCCTTAGCCCCGCAAGGCCCCGCCACCCCAGCACACGTCGGCGCGGCGCGCGATGGCGCACAACAACTCATTCACTCATTCTCTCGCTCTCATTCAAACTTCCGTTTCGGTTCCTCCGACGCTCGGGTGGCGGCCAAGTTCTGTGGAGCTCACGTCCCCGTAAACCGGACAACCAACACCGCTCCGAGTGTACAGAATCAGCTCGATTTGATTTCAATGAGCCTTGTCCACCCAACATCTTTGTATAAATGTTGAAATCATAAAGAGATTGAATAAAGAACTACTGTTTTGTTATTTTTTCGTTTTGAAACATTACCTATCACTACCTTCTTCCTTGTGTCAGTTATTGTTTTTATCCAATCATCAATGAATCTTTAAAGCCTGATTATTGAATGCCAAATGAAGTAAAATGAACAAAGAATGCAAGAATAAAGAAAACTCAAGCGTTTTCTTTATTACGATCTTAAAATACGACATAACTGTTAATTTAAGGAATTGTAATACCGGTCCAAGAAGGGCGCTGACACATGATCTGGCAGCATTGTTGTCGCACCAGAAAAAGGCCAATGCCTTCCTTAGGAAATAGCCCGAAGCGACGTTTGGCGCAGCCTGTTCCTTTGTTTGGCGCTCGTGGTTCATGTCTTCGTCAACACGCGCTCAGTCACGGACGGAGAGAGCAAACGCCGGTACGTGTCGGATCGCTTTCACAGACTCCGTCGAGCGATGCCGCCGTGGACCTGTCATGGCGCCCTTCGTAACTCTATACGTCGTCGCTGTGCCAATGCTGTACGTCGCCATGTTCTGTGTGTTTCCGTTCGTGTGGCAGGCCCTGCTTGGCCTTGCACAGTTGATACTTGTTGCCAGTTTTGTGGAGTGAGTGCAGTGTTGCCAACCTACAAAATTCAAGAGTATTTCCAAAATATAAACAATTTTCAAAAATATACTTTTTTCAAGAGTTGGTCAATGAAAAAAGCACATTTTCTAACGAGGAAGATATTATTGCAGGTTTACTTTAATTAATTATTTGTTTATCAGGTTATCTTCGATGCATGTAGTTACGCGTTTAATGAACATAATTCCATACTTGATAACTAATTGGTCACTATTTTGTTGATCTATTCTTATATATTAATGAACATGAAAACCTTTAATTGATGTAAATGTGTAATACCTGTAATAAATTTTCCGTCGAATATGAACGAATGTGTCAAAATGTGGGAGATTTACAAATATAATGTTTAAAAAAATTAAAGAACATTCTTTCTGGTAAAGTAATTTTGCATGTTCCCTTGGTGCACTAAATAATTACATTGCTTCCGAATATTTGTTTTAAGTCAATGTTTGTTTACTTTCAAATACAAGTACTATACTTACTTTTCTATTTTTAATCTAATTGTTGACTTCTAGACAATTGTTTATTAACACAGTCTTTTATCACTCTTCGCGGAGAAATTAAGGGGAATGAAAATACAACTTGCAGAGCAGTTATGTATTGCAAGTTGCATAACCGAGCATCGTGGGGGCAGGGCGCTGCGAAATGAAACGAGTATGCCGCGAAAATTAGAAATAAGGAAAATATCACTGCATAAAATACTAATTACTGAAATATTTCAGTATTTTTTTCGAAAAGTCAAGAATATGAGACTAAATAATTTTATTAGAAAGTAATTAAAAATCTGTCATTCATTATAATATTTTTGTAATTTAATGGGAAATGTGTGCTAGAGAGAACATGCATGATCAGATAGAAGATCTTGAACCAAAAGGTTAGGTCTATGTGAAACAAGGTTTCGATAAAAGAAATGAATATCCTACATTCAAAATAAATTAGTTTATGCAATATCTCTCCATATAATTCCTGTGCGTAGGAGAGTTTTTTTCCGGCAATATGAAATGAGATATGGTAATGAAACAGCGCCCAACATCCTTTTCTCATCTCGAAAACCCAATGCCGAAACCGGAGGACAATGGTGTAGTGTCCAGACCATTCGTGTTTCACCGACGAGATCGGGTTTCAACTCCGAGTCGTTCCACGTGGAATTTGTGGTAGATAAAGTAGATTCGCGGCAGGATTTTCTCGGGTTACTCTCACTTCCTACGCATATCATTCCGCCATTGCTCCACTTCATGAAGGCATCCCAATGTGGTCGCCATCAAAAATTTAGAGACAAAGAATCAAGTACCGGAACCAACGTGTCGCTTCAGTCTTTTATTGATTGATTGTTTTAGTAATTCTTGGCACGTCAACTATATAGCGATATCCGGCGCCGACCTATCGTCGGCTAGCGGGGTTTTCCCTACCAGATATCTCCCACCAGCGGGACACCACCCCAGCCAGGATAAGCTCTAAGTTCCCGACCGGTCCCCCGGTATGTGTCGTAGTGTGGTGCATGTTAGTGTAAGTGTGCGTGTATCGGGTGAGAATAGGACAAGGAAGAGGAAGGTGAGATCGCGCGCGGTCCGTGGCCCGTTTGTTAGGGTACTGCTCTGGTATTCGCCTGTAGTTGATCGTAGAAACCACGGAAAACTACCGATCAGAATAGCCGGCCGGTAGAATGGTGCTCCAGACGGCGACTTGAGCCTCAGCCCAGCGGAGTCGCGCGGAATGAGCGAGCGTCCAGACGCGCGGTCGTGTGTCTTTCGCTCGCCGCTGCTCGGGGAGGGGAGGCGGTCGCCGTGACGCCCAACGCGGCCCAGGCGCTATTTTAACGCCGTCCGGGAGCGGGGGATGCGACTGTTCGAGGTCGCGTCTGCCGCTGCTCACCTGAATAGGCGCCTGCGGCCTCGCCTCTGCCCGGGCAGTGACGTAGGTGCACGGAGCCTCGGGCGCGATATGCGGCAGCCGGCGGGGACTCATGCAACGTCCATCCCGATCAGGTTTTGCGTCCGGTTTCCCTTGAGCGAAGGGTGAGAAGGTCCCTTGTGGTGCTTCTGACCTTTTTCTTCTTTTCTGTTTCACTGTCTGCGCACGTTTCTTCTTGGTTTTTCTTTTCTTTTTTTTCTCTCAGGGTGGTTTTAATATGAATATAGTTATTATGTGTTGCTACATTACCATCTTTCTTCATATTCTCCGGGAAATGAGACGCTTTCTTCAAAGGAGAACGATAGAGAAAAATAGAGAAATTTCGGCCTAATTGCCCATGAATATAGTTTTTATTAAACATTTTCTTGTTATTAAGTTTGTCCAAAAACTCTCGTTATTTTTATTGTTCTACTTCGTATTATTTATTCATTATTCTACTTATTGCGGGTATAGTATAAGAATGAAAGTAAGGATGCGGTAGCTCAAGAACACGTGCACAAATTATTCTTCTCTCCCGTACGTCGCACGTATTTGAAACTGATTTTACGTTAAATAAGTGTGTAAAGAACTACGAAAGTGTGAAAGATATGGCAGTTTACATAATACGTATATCTAGGGTACGAATTCGAAAAGTGGGCATTGAAAACTCCACGACGAAGTGAATGGAAGAACTTGTGGGGACATTCTCGCTTACTTAGTAGAGTCTGTATGAATCCCCAGAACGCTCGTAAGAATTGTCCAATTTTATTCATTTAAATTCCTTGATTCGAACATTTCAAATGACGGAAATCATAATTGAAGCACCGACGTATGAATCATGTCTCGTTAGGGCCAGTCTAATACTTTTCCAGTCGGAGAATCGATCTGTCTAGATGGGGACGATCCCGGGATCCCACGCGTCAATTCACTCCCAGCCAGTATCCTTGCGTCGGCCTGGGCGACCGCTGAAGTGCGGGATACAGACGCAACCACATAAGTAAGTAACTACAGACGTAATCGCGGATTTTCTCTCTCCCGTGCGACATGCCGGCGGAGGTAATTCCTTGAACTGAATGAAAGAGTGCATTGGTAGGAGATTGACTTACACCACTCTGTTCATACAGATGCGGATGTGAACTCTACTCACGTGATTTTCAATTTGTGCATATAATCGCTATAACCATATATCGCATATAAAACGATGTTTTTTATATTTATGTGAGATTCAGCGTGAAAACATTTCATCAGAACAAGAAATGAGATCGTTGAAGGTCAGGAATTTTATCACGAGAATTGAAACACTCACTAACTTGATTGGTTTTTGAAATGTTTGATTCAAGTTTCTCTTTCTATGGATATTCAATAAAGAACATTTTACTATTTCACGAGAGGGTCTTTTTGCATTGCAAATGTGAAAATAAAAACTTTATTGCTTTTCAATTTGTGTATAGTTCTAATTTTCAAAATCTCGCATACAAAAACATTGTAGAAAGAGTTTGTGGGCATTATAATGTATGTTCCTCGGGGGTCAAACTATAAAATTTAGTGAGACGATTTATCAAACACCTCCCGTTCTGAAGTATATTAAATATAAAACGTCTTCAGGCAGTCACTTTATAATGGCTTTATTCATAAATATATAGTATATCTACTATAATGTTTACAAATATATTTGTATCTATTGATTTAATTAAACTGAGAAATTTTTATAGTAATTTAAGGCGTGTTTTAAGAGGAAAATAAACATGTTATATTGATAAAATGTGTAATTAGTCCCTAGTTTAATGGCAATTTATTGTTACAGATTTTACCTTAAAATCCACAGTGAGCATCGTATCCAGTGCATACAGATATTTCCTCAGACGAGGCGTATCTCAGTCTGAGGTAGCGGTTCCTTCAGAAGACGCTAGGATTGGCGTCATCTGGACACAAGTTCCCGCGAGCTGAATCATAGTGCTAGAATAGTGCCAACCGCCGAAACACGATGTTTTGCTTTAGCGATGCGAATTCTCATAACTGTCCAACGTGTTCAAGATTTATAATTGCATATAAATAAATTGTGTATTAAATCTGTGTAATTACATTTATTTCCAGACTTTTGAAAAATAATTGACTCGCCTTTCACGTAGGTTTATCTTCTGTAAACCAATCAGCTGTAACAATCACTAATCATGAAATAACATATTTTACTACAATACTCGTACCAAGAGGAAAAAGCTGTTTAAAATTAAACTTTATCAAAATATTTAAAAAAATAAAGAATTAT